CAAGGACTTTGAGGCCCAGATAGTCTCCTTCCTTGGCTATCTCAGTTCTTGGAAGAGGAGTAGAAAAAGAAAATACTACAGCTGAATTACTAGCTATTAAGATGGTATTGATGTGAGGATTTGGATTTTGGGAACACGGGCTACAATTCCCAGAGAATGGACTGCTGTCAAGCCATGGGTTTTACCTCACAAGGACTGGGAAGAATGTGTTTGGCTACAAGAAGAACTTACAGGAGGAAACTAAGCCAAAAAGCACACAGTCTCCAATGCCTATGGAGTAATGTTAGGGATATGAGAAATAAACAATAAGAACTAGAACTCTTAATTCAGGAGGTAAAAAGGACTTGACAGGGCTAACTGAAACTTGGTGGAATGACTCCCACAACTAGGATACATAATCAAAGGATATATGAATTGTTCAAAAAGAACAGAAAGAATAGAAAGAGTTGGGAGTCACACTAGTTGTCCTGTCAAAAGCATTTGAATTAAAATTGCTGGGGCAAAACTAAAAGGAAGACGGTAGTTGGGAGTCTACTACTGACCACCCAAGAGGGGAGAATATGCAAGTATTTCAACAAACTGTAAGTAACTCAGAGAGGCATAATGGCCCTTCCAAGAAATTCCTGGCTTGTGTTGCTGATACGATGTTATTGTTATCTGCTATCATATCAGAACTGACTTTAAATGACTCTTAACGGGGTTTTCAACATGAAGTATTTAAGAAGTAGCTTTACCTGTTCAACCCTTCAGTGAGTTTCCACGGCAGAGTTGGGGAATCTCCTAAATCCTAGTCTAGCCATTTTAGAACAGGGGTAACCCTGTTCGTATGATAAACAAATACCTGAAAGACCTGTTATATAGAGGGCCAATCCCTCTGCTCTCATTCATTCCAGGGTGCAAGCCATGTAATAATGGGTTCCGGTTACAGGAAGCCAGATTTCAGTTAAGTATCAGGACGAATTTTGTAATGGTTCGAGCAATATGACAATGGAACCGGTTATCCTGGGAGGTGGTCAGCACTCCAGCATTGGAGGTATTCAAGAGAAAGATAACCATCTGTCCCAGGTACTTTAACTTGGGTTCCTACACTGGGCAAGGGGATGGACTCAGTGGTCTTATAGGCGCTTTCCAACTAAATTATTCTGATTTTTATCCTCCTGTTAACAGAGACATCACCATGCTGGCAAAGGTCTGCATAGTCAAAGCTATGGTTTTTCCAGTAGCGATGTATGGAAGTGAGAGCTGGACCACAAAGGCTGACCGCCAAAGAATTGATGCTTTGGTTTGTGGTGCTGGAGGAGGCTCTTGAGACTCCCCTGGACTGCAAGAACAAACCTATCTGTTCTGAAGGAAATCAACCCTGAGTGTTCACTGGAGGGACAGATCCTGAAGCTGAGGCTCCAATACTTTGGTTATCTCATGAGAAGAGAAGACTCCTTGGAAAAGACCCTGATGTTGGGAAAGTATGAAGGCAGGAGGAGAAGGTGACAACAGAGGATGAGATGGTTGGACAGTGTCACTGAAGCGACCAAGATGAATTTGACCCAACTCCAGGAGGCAGTGGAAGACAGGAGGGCCTGGTGTGCTCTGGGTCCATGGGGTCACAAAGCGCTGGACACGACTTAACGACTAAACAACAACAAACATGACATTAATGAAATTAGAGTATCAGTGGGTTTCATACAGGAAATTTCCAATCCAGTGCAGGTGCACTAGAGAGTAAGTAAACAAACTGAAAAAAATTGGAAGCCAGCATTTAGAAAGTTTTATAATTAAAAAATGAATTATAATGCACAAGTATTTCAAATCAAACTATTCAGTTAAAAATGTTTATTTTTAATTTTTTTGTTGTTCTTCACCAAAACACACCAAGTGCCTCAAGTTTAAACCAAAAACAAAATGCTCCCCATCATCTTCCATGCACATCTCCACCCACAAACGTTAAGCAAAACATCATAGAAAAAGCTCTAGAATGTTCTTTTTTTAAATACTCGGTTCTTTTACAAACCAAAGAGAAAAACCATGCAGCAGAACAGTGTCAAAATTGGTTCCCATTATAAATACAGTGCAATAATTATATACAGCTTTTACAACAATAAGACAGGATCCCAGCTGTACTGCTGGGGCAGGATGCATTTCGATGGATTTTAAAAGATGACTTGCAGAAGAATAAGCCCTGGGAAAAAAATCAAATCAAGTTTTCCCTTTCTGCAAACGTGCACTCAATTAAGACAAAATTAAGCTTGAATTCATTTTTAATGGAAGCTCAATTTGTTATTAAGATTTAGCTTGGAAAGCTGGTACAAAACAACACAGCAAAACAAGAACATGGAGAACTAGTTACTGTACAATCCAAGTTCCAAAACAGCTAAAGTTGATAGAATTCTGCAGAACATTGATATCATGAACAACTCATTATGCTTCAAACCCAGTACTCATGTTCCTTTGTACAAAAAACAAAAAGATTTCCTCATTCATACAAATAAAGTCAACCAAGACAGGTCTGTTCAAAAAGCTTATTTTCAAATGAGTATTAAACACATAGCCCTTAAGTATCCCTTTGTCACATGAAAGGGATTCTCTCTTTTACAGCTCTCCTCCCACAGCACCCTGGCATGTCTGCTCCAGAATTATCCATTTCTTACATTTGGAAAAAAAAAGATGACTGACACGAGACAATTTCAAAACTGCTACTTCCCAGATGTTTGAGGACTACAGTTTCCATCAGCCCCAGCCAACAGGGTCAATGACAAAGAGCAATGGAAAGGGATGTTTGCATAACAACACATGGGCTAAATCAATACGTGACAAATCACTATAGCTAGGTTGGCTTTGGCAGCCAAGTGGCCAAATCCAGCTCTTTGAGGGATGGCATTTGGCTCTCTGGTGCTGATTGCATGATCACCAGTCTTCCTTCCATTGTGGCAAGCTGTGAATGTGGAAAGCAAGTGGCATAGAGAAGGAAATGATTGATTTAAACACTGGAGCGCAGCAAGACTCAACAGCATGTGCTCCGACTATTTGAGATATCTGTCCGTATCAGAGATCTAACTGTGACACTCCTGGTGGTCTGGGCAGAGATAGTGTCTGTCCATTACAAAGCTGATTTGCATTTTTGGTATGCCCTCTGTGCATGCTTTAACTCCTCTTGCCCCACCCACAGCATGTGTTCTGACTGTTTGAGATATCTGTCCGTATCAGACATCTAATCGTGACACTCCTGGTGACCTGACCAGAGGTACTGTATCTGTCCAGCACAAAGCTGATTTGCATTTTTTTGGTATGCCCTCAAATCTGTGCATGCTTTAACTCCTCTTGCCCCACTGCCAGGGAGAAAAGGGCTGACTTGGATCTCTCTGTGGGAGGGGAACAGGAAACAGGGAGATGTAAGCAGAGGGCTGGAATACGTATTGCTAAGAGCCTTGGTTAGTGCCGAAACTCAGGACAAAAGAGAACTTTGGTGAAGATGCTTCCAAAGGAAACATCCCGGGCACATTTGTCGAGCCTCTTCCTGAACTCTGTTATTCCCCAGTAGCTCAAAAATTAATCCTTGTCCAAATCACGATACCCAACTCACCTTTCGAAGGGGGGGAAAATGAGGCCACCTGTATGAGCAAATGTATTGTGACAGTACTCAGCCGCACAATATAGGCTCCTTAAATGAGCATTGTCTTCAAACAGAGCCTGAGTTACCTTTTTGGACTCCTATAATTCCCCAGCCATCACGGGGGACGAAGGGCTCCTTTAAGGTAGAATTCCTTTTCCAAGTTTTAGCTCACCTAGCTCCAAATAAAACATTTCTGCAGAAAATCAAATTACTGTTTCCAAGTGAGCCCATTTCCCCCAAACTGTGACAGATAGCAAGCAAAGGGATATTTATAAGGGGGGGGGGAATTAAACAAATCATAATCTACGAGTTAGGACACATTTTATTTACGCTTAGAGGTGGATCGGAAGCTACATCTGTGGCGTAACAGGTCTGGTCAGCAGCCACATGATGATGTGATGTCGTACTTCAAAGTATTTCCTGATTCACCTCAGAAGAAAACTGCTTTTGTTTCATTTTTGCAGGGCTGAAGTAAAGAAGTAGTGGTGGGCAACACTGAACAGCTTTTTTTTTTAAAAAAAGAAGATAAATAAAATAAAATCAGCAACATTTTCAAAATATTATCTCCTCTCCCCAAAACAGCTGCCATTGATGATTCTGATGGATGGAAATAAACATAACCATAAGATATAAATAAAAATACATTGTAGGCTTTAAAAAAAAATACTGCATTAATTGTTCCATTAATGAAGCCTTCCTCAATCTAATGCCCTCAAAATGTTTGGGACTACAACGGGGAGATTATCAGCAGCAAGGAGGCAACTGAGGCAGAGAAAGCCATTCCTTCTTGAACTCAACTTGCTCACAAATGAACATCCACTCCCACTTGTGGCGATTTCATGCTACAGCAAGAGCCCTGGATCTCAAAAAGGAGGTAGGCAGAGCTGAGGAACCTTTGGTTCACCAGATGTTTTGGATGTGGTTCCCACCACATCTTGTCAATGCTGGCCATAGGAACAGTAGGCCAAAACAACTGGAGAACATTTCCCTTCCTTATGGACTATACCATTTTAAGCAGCTGGCGGGTACTCGTATGTTGACTTTCCCCCCAAACCACAGATTTTTACATTTGGAAATCTAGCATGCCAGAAGAAAAGACTAACATCCCCTTCTTTATTTTGTATTTCAGGCACAAGGATTTTTTTTTTCCATTTCAGTTGGGAGAGGCATTTAATCACAATGAATCGTACCAGAAGCCAGAAGCGGAATATGTTGGGCTCAAGTTTACTGGCTCTTCATTACACCTGCATCCAGGTAAGGTCATGAAGAAGCTGTCATCTGAACTATGGCATAAACACCTATACATGAAATCCAGGAAAGATCTGAAAATGAATTGAACTTATTCATGAAGTTCAATGCTATACGTGGTTGGGTATATGTGTAACTTGGGGCAAGCCAGCAGAAGCTAGAGGGGAAAACATCCTTGTGGCAAGGTGACAGGGAAATAGGTCTTATCCACGCTAAATTTAGCATCCCAGTATATTTCCACACAACGCTCCTTAGTATGAATGCCAATTGAGAAGAAGACCTCTGATTAAAGTCCCGCCACCATCCAAATTCTAGCAAGGCTCGTATCCAAGGAAGCAAGGACGAAAGCCAAATGCACGACATGTCCAGCGCAAAGATAATGCTATTTAAAATAAATCCAAATGAGATTTTAGAGTGATAGAATTTAGGTAGAATTCATTAAAGTTTATTGCATGAAGGCTCTGTGTGTTTGTGGTATGTAAGAAAAGGGCATTAAGGCGTGCATCAGCACCATTTCCAAAGCTGGCACAGTATTTGGTCAGAAGCAACAAAATAAACGAAACCCCTCTTCCCTGAGAAAATATATATTCACGTAGAGGGATTACAGAAAATCAGGATATGGTGCAAATTATAGGGCAGCCGCTAAGTCAGCAGTCCTGCATCTCAAATTCCTTTCATACCAGACCCCTTTCTCTCTTTCATGCCTTTTAGTAGAACTGGCTGCTTGGCTTGACAACCTTTCGCTGCTATCTCCCCCAAACCTGCAAAGCAGGGAACGCTCACAGTGGACTGATATCCAGCATGTTTTATGTACTGCAAGAAAAACAGGAGTGTATTCAGGAAGGGTAGGCATGGAACCGTAGAACTGTGTATGTTTGGGAAGAGAAGAGACCTCATTGGTCCAATTACTGGGTTAAATACGAGAGACCACCAGCCATACAGCTTGTTTTCCATGGACAAAATAAGTATTTCTCTGAGAATTAAGATATGAGCCCAGTAGGATTTAGGGGATGAGTCAAAAACGCCTGGATCCATCAGAATAAAAAAAATAAATTCAAGTCTTTAAAAAGCGCATTCTTCAGCCAATACTATCTGGAGTGTATTGGTTTGGGAAATACCTAAGAGATTCTAGTAGACTGTTCTGGATCATTGAATAAGGGAAACCAGTGTGTCACAGGATCATGGGCAATTAAGACATCACTCTCTGCAAGAAATTAACCCCTGTAATGAAGCTAGTATAAGAAAGAAGGCCTGGCACATTACACAGAAGCTAGAAATGAGCCAGTTAACCAAAGAGAACTTCAGCAGTGAAATGAAACAGATAAGTTGGCCGTCTGAAACAATCTAATTCCAAAAGTGCAGCTTAGTTCCTTATATGCAGATCGTAGCCAGGAATACATACAGCTCAGGAAGAATTCAGCCTTCTTCTGCTTTGTGCAAAATAGCCCACCTTGTCTTGTTTCACTCACGATGTGAAACACGAGAAAGTTCCTTCTGTTGCGGCCACCCTACAGCCCTTCTGATCTGGTTGGACCCCAGCCTTCCTCTCCATGGTGACACCGACTATGGCTTAAGGAGTGTTGCAGTCCACCAGCATCGGCAGATCTTGCCCCTCACGGAAAGAAATACAGAACTAAAGCATCACATGAAGCAATCGCATTAGGAAACATGTGGCCTTGGCTGTTTCAAAACTAGGTCATGCTGGGAATTTTAGGTTAAACCAGGACAAAACAAAAACTCTTTAGGGAGCGCTTGCTATTCGAGAAACCACAGAGGCCAGTTCTACAGTAAGAAGGTTCACCGAATGGGAGTGATGCCAAAGGGACATCATGCTATACCATAATTAGTTAGAGGGGAACTGGGGTGGCAAGAAAAACATGCCTTTACCAAGCAGCATTAAAACCCCAAAGGCAGACCCACCATTTCTGAGACGGACCGCAGGGACTCCTTACCTCTTTTGGCTTAACAAGTTTCTTCAAAATCTAGAAATCATCCACAGGGCCCTTTGTTCTCTGGCTCATGGGGTAGGCAACCGGTGCCCTCCGGATATTTGGGACAATGACCCCCACTGCCCCGAGGATTGGCCAGCAGCCATGTTGACTGGGGCAGATAGGAATGAAAGTCCAAAATATCTGGTGTGAGTTAGGATGCCTACTCCACCCTAAATTAAGAGTCCAAGGGTTTCCAGGAATGTCAGAGACATTTCTGAGGTTATTATCCACCTGCACCACAAATGGGATGGAGGAAGAGCCATCCAGAACCCACAATATGAACCTGAAAGGAAAATGGCAGCAGAGACTTCTCCAAGGCAAATCTGGGCACGTTTGCTTGCGTCAATGGCCACACAATGTCCTTGGGTTGTTTCAGGTTTAATGGAGTTGAAGAGAGCTACCGGTGGGCCTTTCCACAGCTGCTTTACTACCAGGCCCAAACGCAAGCAGAGGCTGCAAACCAAACACTCAGGGTCTGGCATGGAGAACAAGTTATTCTTAGCACCATAAGAAGACTCAGAAGCCATCCTGCCTTCAGTTCTTCAGCAGGTCTCCCAGATCATAGGCTTCAAACAAGTCACTCACACCCTCGCCTTCTTCTAAACCCCACAGGTAGTCCTCTTGGTCAAGGGGAGGAGAGAAGCTAACAAACGGTCCCATCTCGTTGTAGGAAGCTGACGGGAGCTGGTCTTCTGTCTGCTGCAGAAGGTGTTGAGGCAGCTCGAGAAGGCCATCTTCACCCTCCGCCAGGCAACTGGAAGACTCCGGCTTCACCGGCTCGGCTGGGGGAAGAGAGGAGAAAGACCATGCTTGAACACAACCAGAAGGCACCGAGGGCTGGTATTTGTGGGGAACCTGCCAAGGGACGTGGTGGCGCTGCAAGGGACGTGGTGGCGCTGCAGAAGACCAGCAGTCGTAAGATCGAATCCACGCGACGGAGTGAGCGCCCGTCGTTTGTCCCAGCTCCCGCCAACCTAGCGGTTTGAAAGCATGCAAATGCAAGTAGATAAATAGGGACCACTTTAGTGGGAAGGTAACAGCGTTCTGTGTCTAAGTCACACTGGCCATGTGACCACGGAAGATTGTCTTCGGACAAAACGCTGGCTCTATGGCTTGGAAACGGGGATGAGCACCGCCCCCTAGAGTCGAACACGACTGGACAAAAATTGTCAAGGGGAACCTTTACCTTTACCTGCCAAGGCCTACAACTAAGTAGGGGAGTTTGTGGGGAACCTGCCAAGGCCTACGACTAAGCAGGGGAGCCCATGGTTGACCTCCCCTAATTCTTCTCCATTTGGCAGCTGCTGACTCTAGGCCTACAACTAAGTAGGGGAGCCCAGGGGTTGACCTCCCCGAGTTCTTCTCCATTTGGCAGCTGCTGACTCTATGAGCCCATCTCGTTGCTCCCCTGCTTCTTGTCCCAAATCCACACCTCCAAATGCAGGGATGGTGAAGATTACTGTTTCCAGGCATATTTAGTGTTTACTAAATACAAAGCAACTCATTGGATGGTGGGCGAGCATCTTTGCCACAATATCCAACCTGTACAATTCCCTCCTCCGGCACTTGTTGTCTACCCATTGAGGTTTTGCATTCAAGATAAGAAATCTTGAAAAGAAATCATACTGGTGGAACTCTGGCTAATTATCTAGCTGCAGAGCCAGAGACTGGGAGTTCAATTCTCCACTGGGCCTTTTTGACAGGGATTGGACCGAAAAGCCATAAGGTCCCTTCCAGCTCTGCAGTTCTAAGATCAATATATAATTTTTAGTGGTGGCTCTTGTTCTGATGCTTAAAGTAGTTATGGTCATCATATATTCAAGCTAATTTAATTTTTAGTGGTGGCCCTTGTTCTGATGCTTAAAGTAGTTAAGTTCTTATGGTCATCATATATTCAAGCTAATTTAGCACAAGGGTGCTGATGTGCTCAGATAGTCACCGGTTCAGGATTCTATCACGTCACCATGATCCCTACCTTATTTTGTTTACATGCAGGAGCTATGTTTCAAAAATTATCTACTAACATTTCAAATTACTGCATTTTCCCGTGTATAAGACACCCCCATGTATAAGACGCCCTCCACGTTTCTAATCCAAAATTAGGAAATCTAAGTGGGACTTAGCAAGTGTAGGGGGAAAGGGATCAAAGCGCTGCAGGATCGCTTTGATCCCTGCTTTCCCCTCCACTTGTTTTTGTTCTCTCCTCAGCTTACTTCCGTGTATAAGACGACCCTCCATTTTTAGTCTAAAGATTTTAGACAAAAGTATAGTCTTATACGTGGAAAAATACAGTACATAGTCCACTCAAATTGCATATTCTATCATCTTGAGACTAGACAGTTTCATTTCCTTACATGTGCAGACCAAGCTGGAGCACATCATGTATTTTCTGCTCTTCCTTGGGCCAAAAAGACTTCTGTTGGAGAACTTTACTAGGTTCAGTGAGGACAAATGAAGCCTTTAAGAGGTCAGGATAGAACCGCGTATCTGTCAACTGGTGATCTTCGTGGGGGGTTTCCAGGGAGCTGAGTCCGAACCACATGGAGGAGCAAAATTGGAGAATCACTGTTCTAGAGAAGACAGGAGGACATGTCTTCACTGACTGCTTACCAAGGTGAAGATTTCTCGAGACGGCAGCAGGTGGCTCCACTGGATTTGCTCTTTGTGTGTATTTCTGTAGAGCACACCCTACCAAGGCCACAACAAGCACCTCAGGCAGAAGATGCTAACATAATATTCAGCTTTTCGGTTTTATACAAGGAACAGGTATCGGGCACATCATTGTCATTTGCTTCAGACAGCAGCATATCTTGGGACATGTGTGAGTCTAAGAAAGACCTTAGAAATGTTACTTTTTTGGACTGATGGTCTCAGAACCCCTTGCCAGCTGATGGTGGTGCTTCTGGGGAATTCTGGGACGTACACTTCAATAGGTAACATTTCCAGCCTCTGATGTAAACAGGCATGACATCAATCAACCAGTAACTTCCAAGACTCCACCACTTATCACCCTCTCTTTGATTTAAAAATAAAGTCTGGATGTGGGTTAATGTTCTACAATGCTGCAGCGTGAAGAGCACTAAATTGGAATCAAATTAGTCTTGCTCCGCTTTGCGATTACCCCGTTCAACGACAAATCCGCTTGACGGTGAGTTTTTTGCGATAGCAAAACTATGATTCCAATGGGCAAAAACTGCTTTGCGATGATCGGTTCCCTGCTTCCGGAACTGATTTTTGCTTTATGATGATCAAAAACAGCTGATAGTTGGGTTTCAAAATGGCCGCTGGCTGAAGAAAATGGCCCCCCGCTGTGCTTAGGGATGGATTCCTCGCTGCACAGGCACTGAAAATGGCCGCCTCTATGGAGGGTCTTCGCTGGACAGTGAGTTTTCAGCCCACTGGAACGCATTGAAAGGTTTTCAATGCATTTCAATGGGCTTTTTTATTTCGCTTTACGTCTTCGCTCTACAGCGATTTCGCTGGAACGAATTAACGTCGTTAAGCGAGGCACCACTGTAGCAGTGTGTGCCACCACGACCAGGTCAGCGGGAAGCACAAACAAACTCCCCCCCCCAGGTTCTCAGGTGCCGAGGCCTCCCATCGTTCAGGTTTACCTTTCACGGCCAGATGGCTGCTGCTCTCCTGGTGTGCTGGAACTGGAAGGCTGCTCTCCTTGGCTGGGCTGTCTTCCAGAATTTCTTCCGGGCAAAGGTATACCTCAATGGGACCATTGCTGCTTTTAAGATGGAGCTGTACATTCTCCTAATGAGAGGAAGGAAATGTGATTGGACCGGAGCACAAGCCACCACCTTGCTACCTATCTGGGCACCTCTCACTCAAAACGAATACCTGCCCCACCCACACTTCTTATCCTGGGATGCTACGGGTGGTGTCCCCGAGGGAGGCCCAGGAATCTGCCACCAGAAACTGGGCCTTCTCTGCAGTGGCTGAATCATTCTGGAACTCCCTCCCACTAGAGGAGTGACTCACAGAATCATAGAGCTGTCGTAGGGTTGGAAGGGGCGTTGGAGGTCTTCTAGTCCAACCCGTTGCCCAAGGCAGGGGACCTCATACCATCCCTCCTTGGTTTTAGGAGACAACTTAAAACTTGGCTGTTTTCACAAGCCTCTTCTGGCCTTTTCCCAGATTAATCTAGTTTTGAGTAATTGTATTTCTTTCTGTCCCTGCGAACTTGTCTTTGTCTGTCGCCCGTTATTATTTTATTTTGTATCTTTTTTTTAAAAAAAGTTACTATTTTCCTCTTTTGGTGTTAGTTATTTTATTTTTAGAGATTATGTTTTTTGCATGGTGCTTCATTTGAATGTTTCATTTGAATTTGTAATGTGTTTTGCTTCTGATATACAGTGGTGCCTCGCTTTACGATTGCCCCGCATTACGACAAAAACACTTTACGACGATCTTTTTGCGATTGCAGTTGCGATCGCAAAATGGTCTAAATGGGAGAATTTCCCTTTGTGATGATCAGTTCCCTGCTTCGGGAACCGATTCTTCGCAAAACGATATTTTTCTAACAGCTGATCGGCGGTTTCAAAATGGCCACCGGGTAATTAAAATGGCTCCCTGCTGTGTTTAGGGACGGATTCCTCACTATAAAGGCAGCAAAAATGGCCGCCATATGAAGGACCTTTGCTGGACGGTGAGTTTTTACCCCACTGGAATGCACTGAATGGGTTTCAATGGGGTTTTAAAATTTTGCTTTATGATGTTTTCGCTTAACGGCAATTTTCCTGGAACGGATTATCGTCGTTAAGTGAGGCACCACTGTACAATGAGAAGGCTGTGCTGTTTGCCATGCCCTTTCTGCTGGAAGGAACCTGAGATGATGAAAAAATAGGATAAAAAGGGTTCCCCCCCCAACATGTCCTTGGCCTTTCCAACAAGGAGCCAATAGTTGATATAAGGGAAAACTCCTTTGTTCTCCAGAATACAATAATGGGATACATGCATTTGGTGGACACACAGAGCCAAATGGGAGGACCTTGAACTAAACATATGGTGACCCAAGGTAAAACACAGGTAATGCCTGTGAGATGGTCTTATGGCAATGTAGAAATAAGCATCTTGCTGGTCAGTGGGAATAAATCAGCTTCTCTTCCACAGCAGTGTTAATATCGCTGATAGCATAGCCATGTGGAATTTCTTGGGGCAGTTGAATCTGTTGACTCTGCGAAGACTGAGGACTGGACTAAGATCAAGGTCACCTTTGGAATGGTGAAACATCTTGACAAGAAGACAGGTGAGTCTGTAAAAGTGAGGAAGCAGTACTCTTGAGGGAAGCTATTTCACCTTTGAGCACAGGTAAGGGTCTTGTGACTCAAAATGTTCCCAAAGAGGGCATCCTGCTGAACTTGACCGCATAGCCCTTCTTGAACAGAATGAGAACCTACAGGTCAGTCAGTGATGATGGAGCGTCAAGTTGAAATGTGGCACAGAAGACAGAGAAGAAATCTCAGATTGTGGTAAAGGTGGAGAGGAATCAAAACAGATGTTTAGTGAGTTGTGAAGATCTCTTCAAGAAAGAGGAGGCATTGTTCTTAAGTCTCCACAAACTGACATTTGGAAATGGAAGGATGGTATCTCATTGGTTTTCAAAGTAAACAGGTAATTGCTGTCAAATTCAGTATCCAGTCCTCAACCTAGAATTTTCCCAAATTCGTAGCTAGGCAAGCCTGTGAAGGATGACTGCTCCTGAGGATTTAAGCAGTGAAGACATAAGGCTTAAAGTCTGCCACATAGTGAGAACAGTTGAAATGGTGGCCAGTCAAACAGTGTGAGGCAGCCTAGTAGGTGAGGATGATGGATTGTCAGGCAGGTAATGAAGTTGTTCTTAAGTCTCCTCAAACTGACATTTGGAAATGGAAGGATGGTATCTCATTGGTTTCCAAAGTAAACAGGTAACTGATGTCAAATTCAGTATCCAGTCCTTAGCCTAGAATGTTCCCAAATGCCCACAATTCGTAGCTAGGCAAGCCTGTGAAGGATGACTGCTCCTGAGGATTTAAGCAGTGAAGACATAAGGCTTAAAGTCTGCCACATAGTGAGAACAGTTGAAATGGTGGCCAGTCAAACAGTGTGAGGCAGCCTAGTAGGTGAGGATGATGGATTGTCAGGCAGGTAATGAAGAAAAGCCTCTTAATTCTCCTAAAGAAAATGCTGATGTCACCACCATAGTCTGAAAGCCATTAATATGCACTGGCAACAAAATGGCTGCCCGCAGCGTTTTCGCGCAATTTCCTTGCTTACCGGGGCGGTGAAGATGGCGGCCATATGGAGGATTTCCGCATAGTGTTGAGTTTTTCCCCCCATAGGAACGCATTTAAGGGGTTGAATGAGTTCCTATGGGGTTTTCCATTCCATATAGCGATGATTCCGGATAGCGACGATTTTCCTGGAATGGATTCACAAACTGCTGGTTCAGAGGTTCATGCTGGTTTATCAGCCAGCCAGTGCTTCAAAGCCCCGCCTTCTCTGGCGGGGGTTGACTTGGAGGCAGCAGCCTGGCTTCCCTGCCCCGCCTCCTCTGGCCGCTGCCTCTGAGTGGGCGGCCACTGGGGGAGGCAGGGCTTTGAAGCACCAAACCTGTGTTCTGCTAATAAACGAACCGGTGGTTCGTGCCCATCTGTACTGGGGACTAAGTGAAGAGGTGGTCAGGTGTGGAGATGCTTGGTGTGAAAGACCACATTGAGGAGCGTACCCATTGCCAAAGAAGGTAGCTTCTCAACTGAAGGTCTCTTGCAAAATGTAACAGAGGTGGCATGAAGAGGCTGATTCCATTGACTGGGCTGATGGTTCATGGGACTTTCCTCAAAGATTGGCTGCAGGTTAGAATGGTTTGCTTAACAGAACTTCAGCGCAATGGAGTAGGGCGCACAAAAGACGCGTTTCCCCCTACGCAAAAGAAGAGAGCTAAAATGTTTGCTGTGGGCACAATCTTTCAGTTCTTCAAAATGACCGCAGATCCAGAAGACCACACAAAGCCCGCAGAAAGGGAGAGCGAGGACAAGAACAAAATAATCTATAGTGAAAGACAAGAGGAAAAATTAAAAGGTGAAAGAAAAATGCTCATGTTGAACTCATGAAAGAAAAAAGTTTCAGATGTGTTGCTCCTGTGGCCATCAAAACAGAATTGAGAGGCTTGAGCCACGCTAAGGTCACGTCAGACGGGCGCAGGAGGGTGGGAGGCAAATCTCCCACCTAAATCGCTTCGCTCCTGAATATTCAGAGCATGGCTCCATTCGTTTGAGTCACAGAGACTATGCGGAAGAACCATACATTCTCCAGTTCAGACAAAACAAGTAACAAGTGACTTTTCTGTTTTCAACTCCGGGCTGCTTGCTAGAAGATTCTGAAAGTCGCTGTCTGAAGAAGTAACGATCCATGCTCTGGACTGAGGTGAGCAAACTGTCACCTTTCAAATGTTTTTGAACAGCACCTCCTTCATCGTCATCTACAGTGGCTACAGTTGATGGAAGCAACATCTTGTGAGTTAGTGTTCTTCCAAGCCTGCTCTCCAGGTAGAAGAAGGTGTGTGTGGGGGGTGTTGGAATCAAGTTATAGCAACCCTAACAGGGCTTTCAAGGTACATGTGAGATATTTAAGGAGTGGTTTTACCAGTTTCACTCCCCCAAGTGAGTTTCCATGGCCAAGGAGGGATTTGAACCCTGTTCTCCAAAATTCTAGTCTATCACTCGATCCACTACACCATGCTGTGCAAGAGATGAAAAAATAAATATAGTGGTGCCTCGTTAGACGATGATAATCCGTTCCACTGAAATCGCTGTTTAGCGAAATCATTGTCTAGCGAAAAGCATTTCCCCATTGGAATGCATTGAAACCTGTTTAATGTGTTCCAATGGGGAAAAATCGTCGTTGTCTAGCGGAGATCGGCCATAGGAAAGCCGCTTTGCGAACCGCCGATCAGCTGTTTAAATCATTGTCTTGTGAAGCTTAGGTCCCAAAAACACCTGTTTTGCGAGCGCGGAGGAAGCTGTCAAAATCGTTGTCTAGTGAAAATCGCTTTGCGAAGCAGGGACCAAACAGTGTCCAGCGGAATTCCCCCATAGGAATCACTGTTTTGAGAATCGCTATAGCGATCACAAAAAGTCAATGTCTAGTGAAAAAATTAACAAAGAATGTTACTGTCTACCGAGGCACCACTGTATTTGGGTGGGGAATCTGGTATTTTGGACAACAGCTTCCAGAATCTCTAATAACGGGTGGGAAATCTGGTATTCTGGACAACAGCTTCCAGAATCTCTAATAACTAACATAATGGTTGGGGATTCTGTAATCGTGAGTTAAAAATATCTGGAAGGCCACAGTTCCTCACCCCTCAACACCTTGTGTCACTAAAAGAAAGGCAAACGGTAACCCAGTCCACACCCGTTGCTCAGCGTTGCTCACCTCACAAATATCTGGCACCTCTAGCCGGGTTTCTGGCGGTGCTCTGACCACAATCACTGTCTGCTCGTTGAAGTTGCTGATGGCGCGAATGTCCTGATAGGTGACATATGCTAATGTAAGAGGGGAAAAGACGTTAAGGAAACACCGCGAGAGATCCATGTTGCAGATCCACTTGGGGAAACTTCTCTTTACTTGAGAAAAATAATGCGTTTGACTTTTTATTTCTTACTGTTAAAAAAGGCAACTTAAGAAACAAGGAGGCAGGCCAGGTACCACAGCACATGTGGGCATGCAAAGCCTGGATTATCTTTTCTGGTCACAATTTCCAGAATCCCCAGCCAGCAGAGCAATAAAGTAGTGCCTCGCATAACGAGTGCACCGTTTAACAAAGAATCCGCATCCTCGCATTGCGATGGGGGAACAGCTGTTCGGCGGTTCCAAAATGGCTGCCGGAACACAAAAATTGGCCGCCAGAACACTAAAAATGGCCACTGGGACACCACAAATGGCCGCTGGAACACCCAAAATGGCCACCGCAACATGGGGAAACATCGGAGACCAGTGAGTTTTGGGCCCATTTAGAACGCATTAAACGAAGTTTAATGCATTCCAGTGGGTTTCCAAGTCCCACTTAACAATGTTTCCTCATAGCGAAGGTTAAAAACGAAGTTTACACCACTGTACATTCTGATTAGAGAGAGGACTTTTTGATTCCTTGGATTATCAACTCCATAATTCTCCAAACTGGGACTTCTACCAGACGGACACCTAAATGTGGCTCACCTGGGAGGAAAGGCCTCAGCTGGAAGGCTTTGAGGCTGAACTAGGCCTAGTTCTGCCCAAACTTCCTGTTCCTGCTGGAGTGCTGGCTGGAAGCTAGGCCGAGCTCAGCCTCCAAGCCTGCAATTTAAGCCGAGTCACATTTAGGTTTTATCTGTCAGGCAGAAGTCCCTGAATGAAGAATTATGGTGCTGTAGTCCAAGAATGGCCGCCTGGAGTGGTCCTCACACGACCAGATAGGCGGGTATTATGGTGCGGTAGTCCAAGAAATCTAAAACTCCTAGCCTAGGTTGCAATCCAAAAAAGGCTTCAAGCTCTTCCTTGCTGTTCTGCTGCAAGAGGACAAATCTCGGTGATTTGGGGGCTAGAAAGCAACTCTAAACAGGAGTTGGGTAGGATAGCTCTAATTTCCTTAAGATCTGTCCTATTAAAAGGATATCTCTGATTAGTTTCATCATCTGTCAAATGTTTTAACTGGAGTGTACACTCGCGAATGAGCTTGTCTAGCATCCTCTCAGTCTTGGAGATGTCCTTCAGCTCTTGCTGCAACGAGTGCTGCTTCCTGGTCACAGACGAGTCCTCGAAAATTCCTGTTCCCCTGGGTAGCAAGTACAGGAAATCAACAATAGAACAGATTAGTGCACAAGCTCACTTGAAACATCTGAACCAACTTTTATGTCGCGAAATCGAGGCACTTTGGAGTAAGTAAAGAGCAAAGTAGATTTTTTAAAAAAAAGAATGAAAGACATTGATGTGCATAGTGGGAAACAGGCCAGAGGGTGATACAAACCAACAGGATCAAAACAGGAAAGATAAAAAAATAGGATTTGTATTGAAATGTCTATGGGACGGGCAATTGTGGTTCTTCAGATGTTTTCTGGCTTACAGCTCTCTGAATTCCTCTCCGTTGTCTGTGTTGTTTAAAAGTGATGGGACTTGCATGTCTAAATCACCTGGGGAGCCAGTTACCCACTCCTGCTACAAATGGCACATGTACTGTATTACCCACAATCTTGTGCTCATAAAAACTCCACACAGCTCTTAGAAAAGACACGCTATCTGTACTTATGATGGACCACAGGTCAGTTGTTGAATCATAGAATTGGAAGGGTACCTCATCTAGTCTCACCCACTGCACGCAGGCATTTCAGAGACTTTCCACAAACAACTGTCTAACTCTACTTTAGGACTTCTGCTGGGGGACCCCATTCATTATAACTGGATGTACCGTAAAACAGGACAAAAGTTTGCCCTATTTTATGTTAAGTACAATAGAGCTAGCCCTTTGACGATCCTCTACAAGCAGTGATTTTCCAATTGAAACAGAATAAGGCCCTCAAATCTCACTCCGTCATCAAACTGAAAATAAACAAAAATTTACTTCTGCTTTTCACTTGCCATAATATTTGCATGTTTTCTGTAGGTATTGAATATTCTGGCATCTTTTTTGGGAGCGAGGATAATAAAGTACGTCATGAATCTGTCCACACAAAAACAGATTTCCCTAGACTTTGGTGTGATGGGAGACAAAAAATCTCATTATTACACAGTTGGTTTCTATTGTTTCTGCTTTTTTAAACTTCTGTATATTTAGGTCTGTAAAATGGCCCGATTTCTTTTTTTAGAAAGTAATCTCTAATAAAATGGTCTTAATGACTACTGGAATTCAACCATCATCCATTTGTAGTGTTTAGACATCCATATGTTGGTTTTACAAAGACAAAGGAAGACAAATAAATTTGCATAAAAAGACAAACAGACATGCATGTGCGCTTCTCTAAATTCAGGAACTTTCACTGTGAAAAAAATTGGATGCCTCCAAACACCACAGGGGTCTGAGCTATCCTGTTGTGGGAGTGAGCAGCCTAACTATTTCTCACATACTGCTCTGTTGTTTCGCTCAGATGCACTTACATCCACTGAATGTTGTTTTTGGACTTCTTACGAATGAGCTGGATCCCCTCCAGTACATTTGTGATATCATAAATACGTCGCTTCTGGACATCCAGCACCTCGGCAGCCTGGTTCAAGTCGAGAACCCCATCCTTTGACTCGCTGAGCAAGTGAATGAACTTCTTGGTTAACAGGCCGAGTGACGTGTCATAGCGGGTCTTCTCTCCCGGTGATTTGGGGGCTAGAAAGCAGAGACTTGTCAGTACATGCACCCAAGTTAGACTAACAGAAACCCAAATTTTCAGCATCCATTTTTATAAAACAAAGGGGTCCTTAAATACCATCTGGACAATGTGGACTACAGCTCCTGCAAAGCAAGTGAAGTGATGAGAGGTGGATCTGAAGAACCAGTTTGCCTGCCCCGCACTTTAGAGTTCTCATTGGCTACTAGGTATTCTTGTGCTCACTTTCTGCCTTAGCAGAATTTACAACGCTGGAAGTCCCTTGGTAGAATTACTACAGGACTGGAAGAGACCTTAATGTTCATTGAGCCAAGCTCCTGGCAGAAGCAAGCCATCCACATACATGCTAAAGCAAACCATGATAGATGGTTCTCCAACTTTTCCTTGAAAACCTCCAATGGAAAAGAATTCACCTTCTCCTGAGGCAGTGTAGTTCCCCTCTTGAACACCATTTACATGTTTCCTAATGTTCAGTCAAAATCGCCTCTCTTGTAATTTGGATCTATTCCAGTCCCATCCTCTGGAATTAGATAAGGCAAGCTTGATACATTTCCATATAACAGCCCTTCAAACGCTTAAAGACAGCGGTCATGTTACATCTCAGTTCTCTCTTCTCTAGGGCAAATATGCCCAATTTCTGTAGAACCCTTTTGTTTATCCTAAGCAGCAGCCCCTTCACTTCCTCCTTTTATTCCAATTGAACCCATTTGGAAGAAGATGGAGTGAAAGTAGATATTCAGTAATTCTGCCTGCTCTCTGTCCCTCATTAGTACACAGTGGTATCTCGCTAAATGACGACCCTGCTAAACGACGAATCAACATAACAATGACTTTTTGCGATCACTATAGCGGTTCGCAAAACAGTCATTCCTAAGGGGGATTTTTGCTGGACGTCTATTAGGTCTGTGCTTCGTGAACCGTTTGTTCGCAAGACAAATTTTTTTTTTGGCTTTGCAAAATGGCTGCCCTGTGTTTCCAGACCCATGCTTTGCAGGGCAGCAATTCTTACAGCTGATCGGTGCTCGCAAAATGGCTTCCCTATGGGCGATCTTTGCTGGACGATGAGGTATTTTCCCCATTGGAACACATTAAACCTGGTTTCAATGCATTCCAATGGGAAAAGGGTTTTCGCATGTCGACGATTTCGGTAAACAGCGATTTTCACAGGACAGATTATCGTTGTCATGCGGGGCACCACTGTATCTCCATCCTCCCCAAGCAGCAAACTTAATGGCTGAAACCCTGTTGCTTAATGTAGAAAGTTGCAATTAGAGAAGGCCCATTTGAATCAACGGAAGTGATGAAAAAGTTGACCCATGGAATCTCCACTGATGCAATGGGTCTAGTGTAACTTACTATACTAAGCCACAGGATTTCAGCCACCGTCTCCTTGTACCTCCTCTTGCTTCTAGCAAAATTGAAAACCCTTCTTTTTAAAGTTACTTTTAAACTCTCTTGCTAGTCTGTACTCATTTTGGCCTACTATAAGCCCAAGAATCCAGCAGCTCAGTGTAGAACAAAGAAGCTTTTTCTTATTCTTGACACAAAAGCATAGGTCTTCCGAAGCATGTATGCCAGTATTCAATTTGCTAACATCGTACAGAAACTAATAATGCAGGTAACAGGTGCATGAAAAAATAAAAATGGAACTTCTAGCTGCAGTTACTTTTAGGGCTTGGAATGTGAGTGAGCATCCGTCCTTTGCCCTTCGGGGTCCGGAATTCCGGGATGCAGCGCTGGCCTGCTCCTTCCAAATCCAGTTTCCTTTTGGCCTGGGAATCCGAGACAGAGAAAGAAAGAAAAGCCAAGCCATGGTAAGATTATAGACTCAAAATGAGGAGGAAGAAATTGGTTATTAATAGTTTTGTATCTCTCATTAATACAGAAAGGAGGACTATAAGGATGATGGGATTCCCCTATGGGAAAAGTTACAGTGTTCCATTTAGGGGGAAAAGGTGAGTAAAGACAAACTTCATAGAGATCTACAAAATTATTCATGATTTGAAGAAGAATTTTAGGAAGAAACTTTTTTTTTGCCCAGTTTAATGCGTTTCTATGGGTTTTTCCGTTCCGCTTAGCGATGATTTCACATAGCGACGATTAATCCGGAATGGATTAACGTCACTATGCGGGGCACCACTGTATGCTGTTTTGTAAAGATATTCTTACACTCCAGTTTCTTTTACTGGACACGGCTTACATGTTTTTATGTTAATTATTCTTGAGGGCCATAAATCTGATTTTTGGACAAGACAAGAAAGGTGCATGCAAAAATAAAAATGGAACTTCTAGCTGCAGTTACTTTTAGGGCTTGGAATGTGAGTGAGCATCCGTCCTTTGCCCTTCGGGGTCCGGAATTCCGGGATGCAGCGCTGGCCTGCTCCTTCCAAATCCAGTTTCCTTTTGGCCTGGGAATCCGAGACAGAGAAAGAAAGAAAAGCCAAGCCATGGTAAGATTATAGACTCAAAATGAGGAGGAAGAAATTGGTTATTAATAGTTTTGTATCTCTCATTAATACAGAAAGGAGGACTATAAGGATGATGGGATTCCCCTATGGGAAAAGTTACAGTGTTCCATTTAGGGGGAAAAGGTGAGTAAAGACAGACTTCATAGAGATCTACAAAATATTCATGGTTTGAAGAAGAATTTTAGGAAGAAACTTTTTTTTTGCCCTTTTTCAGTAGAAGACTCAGGCCAGGGTTTAAAAAAAGCACTTCTTCACACAAGACATGGATAACCTGTCCAATGCACTAAGATGTGATGATGGCTACCAAGAGGGATGGCCTTAAAGGCATTCGAGAAATGCACAGAGGTTAGAGCCATCCTATTTCACTTGGCGCCTCCCATATTAAAAGCAGGACACTGTGGAATATGGGATAGAGAGTGTAGCTGTCCAGCTGTTCTATCCTACTGGGCATATCCCTATAGGCAGAGAAAACAAGAACATCAGCAACACATCTTTCAATGGTTTAGTAGATCTGACCAGGTTTCATCCAATAACTAAATGACATTGCGTTTACTATGCGTTTACTATGCGTTTACTATGGACCAAGAATTATTGGAAGTCTGTACTTTCACCCTAAGTTCAAGTAAAAAGGTTTTCCCATTGATCCAACAAGGCATTGCAATCACCAGGTTTAATACCTGTTTCCAAGCTCATTTCACCAACTGGTGGTCTTAATCACTGAAGCCTTTCTAGAGCAATGCTAAGCACACCTACTCAGAGGTAGACATATTTTGGATTGCAGCCCTGATGACTTAGGATCAGGATACGCGAAATACTGACTTCCCCTTAAGAAGCAGGTTAAGTACTAAAGTCTGTAACACAGACCCTTTTCTTACGTCCTACCACGATCAGTGATATTGCAGTGAGCATAAGAAATAAGGGCCTTATTTGTAGTGGCCCCTGTAGAATGGGACCTGGTGGCGCTGTTGGTTAAACCGCAGAAGCCTCTGTGCTGCAAGGTCAGAAGACCAGCAGTCGTAAGATCGAATCCAAGCAACGGAGAGAGCTCCTGTTGTTTATCCCAGCTCCTGCCAACCTAGCAGTTCGAAAGTATGCAAATGCGAGTAGATAAATAGGTACCACCACGGTGGGAAGATAATGGCGTTCAACTGTCTATGGCTTGGAAACGGGGGGTGAGCACCGCGCCCTAGAGTCAGACACGACTGGACTAAATGTCAAGGGGAACATTTACCTTTACCTTACCTGTAGAATGACTTTCCTGGGCATATCTACCAGACCCCTGGTCTTCATTTAATTAATTCATGCAAGCTTTTCATTCTTTGAGTAGACTTTTAATTCTTGATGTTTGCTGTATTATACCACTCTTTGCGTTAGCTACTAGGGATGTGATTTCACAACGGCTAAAATCTAACAGTGGCATTTACACTGTGGAAGGCTGATGACAATCAGTTATGGCATTTCGGGGAAAATTAAAAGTTCCTGACTCCCTAACAAAGTCCCTTGGATCCTTTTCATCATGGGAGGGAGAGTCTTTAACCTTCTGAAAAATCACCACTGGCAGGATGATTCTACTAGTAGCAGCTATGTCTGGAAATTACGCTTTTCAGCCATAGTTGCATTTGATTGTTTCCTGCTCCACAAATAAATATACAGAGGCCCCAAATCCTGTTGCTTAGTTTACTAAACCACACAGAATCGATGGGGATTTAGCGAGTCAACACCTCTATGAGTTTGATTGATTAGAATCGATGGGTATTTAGTGAGTCAACACCTCTATGAGTTTGATTGATTGGAATGGAGTTAGACTCTAACTGCAGTTCTAGCTGCAACTTACTTTAGAGTATGCCCATTTAAATCAACTGAAGTTACTGAGCCATAGACTCACTAAATCTCCATTGATTCAGCGAGTCTATTCAAGTGTGATTAAGCACACTAAGCAACACGATTTGGGTCAGGAAATCCAATTAGCTGTTTTGGCAACAAAATTATGGGCAAATAAGATAATCAGCAGCGAGAATGTCAATAGGTGATGTCAAGTAGAACCTGGAAGGCACTTCCCAAGAATAAACTGAGCCTGTGAGCTTGTGGCATATTTTTCAACCAAACTGAGAAAGCAGGCAATGTGGTGCCGAGCATCCCCTGGAACTCAACCTTTTCACATCTGGATTTTTCTTTACATTTCTGAACACAGGCTTCTAGCCCTTGTAGTTCAGTACAGATACAGTTGAAACAGTAATATCAAGGGGAAATGTCAGATACCTGAAGAAAAGATATTCTGGTACCTAGAGGAGTAAGTGTTTCCTTGCCTAGCAAATTCACCAGACAACAGGATATTCTGGTACCTAGAGGAGTAAGACGTCAGTGCTTCCTTGCCTAGCAAATTCACCAGACAACATAAATTCGCTTTATTTGCGTATCTTGTACAGGTAAAAAAAGAGTGAGCTTATGAAATGTAGAATTCAGAAACTTTTTTTTTGACATTTCGTACATGTGATACACATCTCTCTCCTCCGCCCCCAATCCCTCCTCCTGTAAGCAGTTCCAAAACACTTGGTTCAAGCTAAGAGAACGCTTAAAACAGGGGTGAGCAAGTTTGACAAGCCCAGGGATAAAATTCACACAGCCCCACTGATCTACTGCCAGCTGTATTCCCTTGGCACGGGTGTGTTCCTCCAGAAATTTGGTGGTGGATTGTGCCTTACGACTTCCAATGAGAAAGTGCCATTTGAAGCAAAAACGGACTTTTCCAGGTTGCTCCGAAATTGGGTGGTGCAGCTTTAAGGGGCGCCTTAAGAGATTTAAAAGCCTTTGTGGGGTACATTCAGTCCATGGGCCACCCATCCGTTTGCTAGACGCTTGTAGCGCCTTCCTCTTCGGAGGGGCAGAGTTGGGGGGGGGAGGCGAGGCAGAGAGTTTATGCAAGACAGATTGTGTTACAAACCAAATTCTGTAAGTCCGTAGCTTTCAGTCACAGCCGGCCACAGAAGGGCAGGAAGGAAAAGACAAGAGGGGCCGTATGTATCAACATATGGTAGGTCATTTGCCGTAACCATATATATGAAGCAATATATGGAGAAAGACTGACAGCAACAACAAGGGAAGCCAGCAGCACAAAGCCGTCAGTTTTCCAATTGCTTCCTGCTCGCTTCCTGCCCAGTGGCTGGACCAAGCTTCCCTTCCCTGCCATTCTGTTGAAGTGCTTCCTTCTTGCTACCGGAGGGGGGTTCGGGCAGAGTCCAGTGGCAGCGGCAGAGAACTAGGTCTTCTAGTGGAGAGAGACCCCATGGAGGCAAGATGGACATCAGTTGCTCTTGTTCGGGGACACACCTCCCTCCCTCTCAGACTAAGTCATGGAATAAGTATATACCTTAAAGATGTTTGTGTGGGCATGCATGGAGATGCAATAAAAATATTTAGCATATATGACTAATGCAAAAACAGTCTCATGCAACACAAGACAACAGTTTCCTCCCAGAGAATATAGACCCAACAAACACGCTGTTTGTGTTCCAACATGCTGATCACCCTATCTCCTGAAAAGGACAAAAGCTGATCCCACAGCTATAAATACTCAGCTATCCAACAAACAGCAACAGAGCACAGACAAAGTTCCTACTCCTGTCCTCTGAAGATGCCGGCCACAGAGACTGGCGAAACGTCAGGAAGAACAACCTTCAGAACACGGCCAAAGAGCCCCAAAAAACCACAACATCCATCAGATACCGGCCGTGAAAGCCTTTGAGAATACAATATAGATCAACATGGCGCACACTCAAACTTTTAATCACAGAATACAATATAGATCCCACTTGCTTGTTGCAGTATTCTGGGTCACATCCAAGAAATACAACACACAAGGGCAGGCAAGCATGAAGCTCATCATAGGATGCCTTCATTCCTACCACCAATCCCTCACCTCTAGCAGTTCAGAGAGCCACCCAATCACAACTCCCTCGTAGGGCATAAAAGACGTCTGCCAGGTAAAACAGGAAAAAAACAACATGGCGCACACTCAAACTTTTAATCACTTTGAGATGAGACTGGACTGAATCTGTCTTTCTTTAAACCTGTGTGACCAGTTGCAACCAGCAGCAACTCTCTATGTCACAGAAATCCTAAAGTCTTAGAAATGATTACCCTCTTTTGCACCGCTCCCCAGAGTTCAAGGGACCCCATATCCACAGTGGGTTTGCAATGGGATTTTTTTACAGAGAAGCTGGCCATCGTAGAGAATTTTTGCCAAAATCCAATCACAAAAGAAAGGCGCATAGCCATCTCCACTGGCCGTCTGTCCTCCGGGGTGTGTGTTCATGCAACCAAAGAATGACTCGTGATGCAAAGGAGTCGGCCAGAGGAGGTGATATGTTTGTGTAACGCTCTTATAATAACAATTCAGCAGGCAAGTAGGATTCTGGCCTTTGATTTCAAGACTGATTCTGTGTCCATTCTGGGTTTTTTGGTTCATAACCAAACAAAAAGTAAAAGAAAACCTTCAAAAACAAACAAAAACATACTTCATATTTGCAGAAAAATATGGCACGTCATGTTGGCAGGACGCATATAATACAGGTGAGTGTCTAACCTTCCTGGGTGACGCCTGTGTTCTCAGCATGACTATTGGGTGTAATGCTCACTTCAATACACAGCCCAAACTTCAAAAATCAACTTACACAGGAAGCACCTGCCAAACTGAACATGGTTACCACAGATAGCTTTTCTCCTCCCGCCTCTTTCTAAAGACTCCACAGATAGCAGACAAGGGGCGGTCGCCATGAGCCTTATGCTTTCAGTCCCCATCTTCCTCTGAGCAGAACATCTGTCAGTCACAGACGTTAGTAACAGGTGGCTTCAACAGTACAGGCTATCTGTGGGGGGATGATGGTGCCCTGTCAGGATGACATGCCAAACTTACTCTTATAGGGCAAGGCATGGCCAAAGGGCT